TGTCAACTAAAGTATTATGCAAGTCGTACAAGGAGCATAATTCTAATAAATAAGCATCAGAATTTGACTTGAATATACCCTATAATTAAAGAAGTTTTAGATTATTTTAATAATATCTAAATGATATACACATTGTGCATTAGTAGACGAGTCATGAACCATGTTTCAAAGTTTGGGACATGCATCGATTCTAATAAGGTGAAGGGTCAAGACTTAAATGGTCAGATTAATAGTAAAAACAATTTAAAATCTAATGTAATAAAGAACAAAAATGTGATGTGAACAAAAATAGTGCACAGTGCATTTAAAATAATTGAGAGACTATCTTATCCAAGTGATGGAAACTAAGGTTATACCATACGATATGAAGTATTAATCACAAACAATAAGAACACAAGAACAAAAATTTAATTTGGCAAAGAAATTAAAAATTTTATTCAACTATAATGAAGAGAAATTACAACAATATTTTGTTCCTACACAATTATAACTTGCAGTAATTTATGAGGTAAAACATGTTCTAACTATGAAGAGAAGCCAACTATCTGTAAGACTACATGTTAAACACTAATTGTAGTCCTAAAGATGGAAAATCAAGCGGAAGGCGGGCGACAGGTCCTCTGAAGAAAATTTTGTCTCATCGCTCGAGCGTCCGCTATCATTTAATGCTACATTAACTTCACCTAAATTGGGGTTATAATTTCAGTAAAACCAATTAGCATAAATCTTCTGAAAAATGGCTCTTATAAAATTCTCAAACTAGGAATATAAAATATCTAAGAGAATTGGAGTCCCAACATGCATACGCCAAAAGATAATAATTGCAATGAATTGTGGTAGTACCCACATATAATATAATGCTTTAAAATAAAGAGATATTTATAGACGTGACCGGTGCAAAATGAGAGATATACCTGGCGTGTACCATATTTGCTCAAATTGCTTAATATACCTATAAGTTATTGTGTAACGATATTCATCCCTATTGAAGTTGAGTCCAGTATATATAACAATTACATGGTATTAAATGATAGATTCATTTAAATACAAAATCATATAATTCATTTAATTGAGTCTATCATTCAATGTTATAAACTGGAACTCAATCACAGTGAAGATGAATAGCATTATTGTAAGTTATTGGACAAATTTAGGCAAAATTCTCGATCATCGCTCATCTTTATTTAAAAACGCAGTGAGTGCTATTACCATACGACTTCTATAACGATTAAGGTCGAGTTAATCCAAAAAAAAAGTGTTATTAATTGGACAATTATTTTTAAACTCAGCTTGAAACAAAAGTATGACAATTCATACTCCAATTTTATTTTATTTTATGATAAGCCATTTAGATAGACTGATAGTAAGTCATACTTATCCTGAGTGGGTTATAAGAGTTATCAAGAACTCAGCCAGTGATAGTCATTGTAGAATTGAATATAAAAGTTGTTCTCAATATCAAACTGTACAACTGGATTGATTGAGACATTTTGATGAAACGAAACCTTAACCGTCTGTTTTTCTTTTTTTCTTTTTCCCTACTTTTTCTTGGTCCTTTTAAGATTCTTTTTTCCTTGTAATCTTCAAAGAAACCAACTTTCTTGCTGTGATAATGACTAATGTCATGGTATGACCAATTCACATAATGTTGGTGATATTAACTTTTCTTGTCCTTTGCATTTTTTCTATGATTTTATTTTGAGAGATCGCAAACGCTGCAGAAGGACGCATTGGCCACATATATTCAAAGTGCGTTGTTACAAAACGATACATTGACAACATATATTGAAAGAACGTTGTTACATCTCAATTAACTAATATCAACATACATTTATTGGCGGTTGCGATAGCTTCCTTTTAGCAACACGCAAGTAATAAACGACATTGTTGACAAGTTGTAAATGACCATTTTTTCTTATAGTGTCCTCAAGCACATGTTCGACTCTTTATGAGTGTTGAATAAAATTAGTTGTTCTATTGGATTACAATCATCATATATATATATATATATATATAAATTTCTTAGTAATTTTTTCATGGTCCATATGATTTTATTTTATTTTTTTTCATTTAAACAGGAGCGTTGATTTTATTTAAAAATAAATGTTGTTATAAATTTGTGTAATATATTTTACACAAAATTAAATAATATAATTTCTTAGTAAATTTTTTTAGATTTTTGCAAATATGATTAAAATTTAGTTAATAAATAATTAAAATCACCACATATACATGTTTTACTTTAATAAATGATTAAAAGATTCATTACATTACAAGTCGAGTTATAATAATTTCATTTTTTTTTTTAATTCTTAGCCTTTACATCAAATTTATTATATTATTGAAAAGAGACAAGACGTGTAATGATGTAAAAAATGAAGGCTAAACCATATTCCCATCTGATAACTTCATGTGTAATAATAATTAAAAAATATATATATCAAGCACTAAATGGATTTCAAAAATGTAATTATTTATTTTGTTTCGTCCAATAGAAACAAAATCATAAATCAAATGATAATTTCTCCATTTCTAGTCTAAAGGTCATTGAAATTTAATGAAACCGGACAAAAGATATACGTTGACATTAAATCCCGGGGATTAAAATCAATTTTTTAGCAAATTTTGATAAAAATTGATGAAATGTGTGATTGAAGAGTTGTGTGTCCCATAAAATATTTATATAAAATTAATTGTTGATTTTGATTTAAATTAAAATCTGAATTTTAATTTATACCATAGGCTAAATTTCATCGACAAAACGTTGACGTCAATTTTTTTGTCTCGCGAATTTGCAAATAATAACTTTGTAAATGTTAGACGTCCCTTGAAATCAGTTCATTCACCTAGTCTATATTTTGTGAGATAGACGTCAAGTTTTCTGTTAATATAGTATAATAGGAGGGAAGTTTTCATTGACAAAATGGGCCAAATTGTTGTCAATGAAAATTGGATCCGATCCAATAATAAAATTGGGCCCATTTATTATATTGAGTTTATTAACATGATCCGCAGAAAAAAAAAAACTAATATCGTTGAAAATGAAAAATGAAGATAAATATTGTCATGAAAACGAGGAAAGAATAATAATTTCTTAGGGATGTTTATTCCTTGAAAATTGCTCTCTTTTCTTTAAATTTTTATGAAAATAAAATTTTGTGTATAAATATTTGCACAAAAAAGCGACCACTTGAAAAAATTATGAGAAATAATGATCACAAACAATATCGAGTTAAACCAAAATCACAAAAATGAAGGTGAGCACTGACGGATGCACAGTGGGACTTGTGCACCATAATTTAAAATGTGTGTCTCTGCAACTGACGGTAAATAATACATATAGGCTATAAAGTTAAAAATAAACTAATAAAGATGATACACAACATATTCCAGTTATTCCGTGTATAAATGTTTGCACAAAAAAGTGACCATTTGAGACAATTATTAGAAAGAACGATTACAAACAATATGGTGTTAATCCAAAATCATAAAAATGAGGGTAAACACCGTAAATAAGACTTTTTTTTCCTTAAAAAATCTTTTTTCACTCTAAATCGTATTTAAATATATTTTATACCGAAGGGGAGGGGATATTTCTTGCCCCGCCCCTACCCTACCTCCCAAAAATCCCAATGGGTTCAGAGGTGGGGCAGGGATGGCCGCCCAGCCTAGCCCTGATCGTTACCATCCCCGCACAAGGTCATAAAGGATCCTTTCAACTCAAATTTTAGTAGCCGAAGTGGCCAGAACGATCAAATTATACGATCAGCTTGTTTTTCTAATGGCATTTGAATTGCCGTACGTCATCGTATCACAATACATTCTAATCATTTTTATTCATATATGTACAGGCGGACAGCATCAAAACTTCGACTTTTATGCATGTGTACACACAGGCAACATTGAAACTTCAACTACGTAAATAAAATAGATAGAAAAGATTAGCAGGACAGCAAAAGTAATATAATCGACGGTAACAGTGGCATAGCTTGTAAAAAATCCAGAATCAATGAAAAAAGTTCAAGAGAAGCTCAAGAGTGAATTCAATCAAGATACTGCATAATTTCACAAAAAAGGAAAAGAAAAAAGTAAGTTTTAAGCTACTTTAAAGCATTGTCAAAGCGCAATATAGCTTGCACCCTCCTAGGTGCTCAAGTGTTTAGTGTCCTGTGCTATCGTATCCTCCCTCCCTACCAAATTGTAATAAATGTTTTGGCAGTCGAACAAGATCCATTGAATTATATATCAAACTCTGCTTTAGATTCAAGGGAAGGATTTTCTTATCATTCAGTACAGAGAAGAATCTGTCCTGCCTAAAAGGCTAATCTATGTCTGCAAAGATTGTTCTCTTGATTATTGCTTATTTACTTGTTGACTCCATTCTCGGGGAGATGATCCCACAATACAATAAAAGTCTCATACGACATCACAAATGGAAGTTGGAACATCTTTTTTTATTTTTTTTTTATTTTTATCCTCAATTGCAGAAAATGACTCAGATAATCGAATTGAATCACTTGCACTTAATTCTTTGCTTAGTAAAATACATTTGTGATTGATTGTTATGTGCGTTTCTTGATCAAGTTATTCATCGAATGACAGACAAGATTCAGAATCAGATATTATAGAAAATGTAGAAAAAATATCACCAAGAAAAATCAATTCATTTATAACAACATTCCTGATACATGAATATGACTCAACAATAAAAATCTCGACAAGAAAAGAATACAGGACTCGATGACAGAAAAGAAAGAATTCCAGCTTACAGAAAGAATTAAAGAATGAACGTTAATGTAAAAATCTGAAAATCGTCCGATAACAGAAGCTAGAAGAAACATGTATACCGACCTATGGTTGCTCTCCTACCTGACAACAAATTTTATCTGCAGTAAAGAATGAATAAATGATAACAAATTTCTCTACCTACAAAGAATTGATGCTCCTTTCTGTATATGAGGAATGGAATGAAAATTTTATGCGTATGGGATGTGGCTGATTCAAGTTGGCTGAGAATAAGAGGATGAACTGCCTGCAATGTCGACCGGTGCCCATGTTGAGACTGTGTAAAGAGCCTGATCCAACCAACTCAGTGTAAGTGCATTTCCATCTTGTCCCTGCTTCTCCACCCTATAATTGTCACAAGAGTACATTTTCAGCAGCATTTGTCCCTGAAGCAATTCTCTCTCGCTAATTCCCCAGCACCGGAAACCCCCTTGCTCCATCAACTGTCGCCACTTCTCGAATGTTTCGTGCCTTTCAACCCTGTCTCGTCCTTCACAAGCAACTATATTCCTGATTTCACGAGCAAACATTTCTTCTATCTTGACCCTGAGTGGACTATCTGCTGGAAGGCTTGAATCTAACGAGTCAAAAATAGCAGAATAGCATTTCAAAGAATTCAAAAACCTTCTTTCCAGCATTGTCTCGTTGTGCTCCGCTTCTTGCTCTGACATGACAACCACTATGGGGTTCGTACTTCGAATTAGACCCAGAAAGTCTCTCAATGTTCTTCCGGTACTATCGTAGAGCAACTTGTGCATCTGAAATACACAATTGACAGCCACAGTTTCATTCTCCTTAACATGAAGCATCCACAACCTCACATCTTCCAATCTGTCAACTACGGGGTGGAATTCAAATGGTAGATTCAATACCGCAGCAAATCCGGCAAGTCTATTGCCCGTTTCTATCAACTCCTGTTTTGATTCACCAACACCGGTAATTCTTACATGGCTAGGAGGATTAGTCCTAGAAGCCAAACTCTGAAACAGACTTGGCCACTGCAGCCCTTGTTTTATGTCAAAATCTATGATGTGAACACAGTCCTTTCCTTCAAAAGCCCTCAGTAGAATTTCATTTGAGGTGAAATGTATGAACTTTGGAAATGGGCTTACCTCATTTAAAATCCTTAAAGCAGTGCCACTCGTATCATCCACCTGATCAAACTCCCGAGGAATGGTAATGTGAAAGATATGAGGCCATAACCTTGCAACTCGCAGAGCTAACGCCTCAGTGAAGTACGCAGCGAGGCGACGAATGGGGGAACCCCTTGGTGAAGCAAGTTCCCCCAGTCTAGCTATAAAATGGTTGATATTGGCAATGTTCTTTAAATGAATTGCTTCAACACAAGCCACAAGGAAGTTGACAAGCTCAATATCGTCACGTTCCCTGTGGTTGTTTTCACCATTCTGTCCTGCTACAACCTCAACCCTGTCCCTCGGATTAGGTGGCATCGAACCATTACCTGTTTCATGCTCCCCAGGATTCTCATTCAGCCTAAGAACCAAGCGACCACTCTCTGATGAAGTACTCGAAGATCGCGAGCCCTCTTGTGCAGGACCCTGGCTTGTCTCTGCGTTCTTGTCACCTACGTACGTAATCTTGTTCCCAATAGGTTCCAACCAAGGGCTATTTGATAAAGGAGGTAATGGCGGAGCTATCACATTGCTTGGCACAAAGCACACCCTTTCTTCTTCTCCGGAACATGAAAGAGAGGAAGGCACTTGAGGTGGATTAAGCCCTGCAAGTGGAACAGACCGTGGCACATCAAAGCCAGGGTGAAACCATAAATTCCCACCACCCACCAAATGGCCTAAACTCAAGTTTCCACCTTCTTCTTCACAATCTTCAGATTTTTCACTGCCCCTTTTCCTCTTTACTCTATCCATCCCAATCTCCTCATCGTAAGACCCTTCCTCTGCATACCTCTTCTTTTTACTCTTCTCCCAAAATTCATCATTGCTTTCTCTCCGACCCTCTGTGATTGCTGAAGGTGGGAGTTTGATATTTTGCCTAAGAGAACAATTAGCAGTCTTTGCTTCAATAGGCTTATCAATGGAGAGGCCTACAGGCCTAATCGATTGAGATGACCTCGGGGCATCTTTTCGACCAAAACTACATGGCAAATCCAATCTTTGGGTACTCATTGAAGGTAGATGGCAAACTTGAAACTGTCCAGATCCTTCACTTCTCAATCTATGCCTCGGCGACAACAATGTAGAAGAACACCCAGCCAACATTATTTAGACCCTCACCAATTTTTTTCCCTTTCTTTCTATAACCCCAACTCTCCCCGTCCTTCTAGTTTCTTCTCTCTGTCAATGCGTGTATGTGTTTTCTTTACTTCCCAAACTATGCAATATACAATTACTTTATATAAATTGATATGAAATTGCAGTAGAATATGCCTCTAAGATAGTGAATGAAATTTCAATAAATCAAGAAACAAGAAACAAGAAACAAAATCGGAATCCGATGTCAAAACAAATTAAAGAATAACACTTGAAAATCTTCTCTATTTGTGTATATCTGTGTGTCCTATATGATGATGATATGTATGTATAGCAGCAATATATGTGCAACAAAGAATAGAATCAGCATAACAAACACCAACAAAAAAAAAATCAAAGAATTTGATGTCAACAAATTATCAAGTACCTATCGAAAAATGACCATCGGATTCCTTAATTTTCACACATAATTCATACTGAAGCAAAGTAAAATTCGAGCTGAATGGAATTCATTAAACTTCTGCATATCCATCTTTGCTCAAAATTGTATCTGACAAAAGAACAGTGGAAGTGAGTGATCAGATCAATCCCCTTACCCCACCCTAGCCCCACCTCACCCCACCCTAAACCCAGTATTCTTATCCTTCAAAATCCCTTCCAAATCCCTGCAAACAAGCACGAAAAGGAAAATCACATACTATGAGAGTCACTTCACAAGAACCCCACTATCCAAAAAGCCATACACCATAAACAACTGAACTTTTATATAATATAAACTGAATTTGATGATGATTTTGTCCTAAGAATTAGAAAAATGAAAAGAAAAGTGGGGTTTTGAGATTCTCAGTTTGCGGCTGTTGGATGAGAAACAAAGGGTGGAGATTGCAAGAAAATACGACCGTTGGAGGCTTGTAGGTGAAAATATGACCGTTAAGGAGTTCGGTGTAGTTGCACGGACATGGTGGCGTGGGAATGGGGGTGGAGGTGGGTGTCAGATGAATACACGTGTGTGTTTTTGCTACCCGTTGTACTTTTGGCGACATGACCGTTGGATTTACGTCATCATTTTGTCCATAAGTTTCGTGGAAAATTACACGGCCGGTTAATATCATTATGATTACACAAATGGTTTTTTGTCTCAATCTTATGTGCCAAGTCGTCATGTTCCTCTAAATTAGGATTAATATGGGGATTCCTCAGTTTAAAAATCTTAATTTAAAAGAGTAATGATATTTAACACATCTCATATTTATCACCAGTTTAAATGACATCAACAATGACATTGAATTACATGTTCAATTAAATGAATCACATAATTTCACATTTAATTAAACTTATCACAAAATGTCACGTGGAATGGTGTTCTAACACCCGCGGTGCTAAATAACATTATTTTTTGATAAAAAAAAATTGGGATGTAATACTAGAGAGCTAGGTTCTATTTTGCTTCGAGTGAAGATTGATCTGTTACAAGGTTCGAGATTTATAAATAAAAATAAATAAATTAAAGTCTATCCTTAAATTAGTTCTTTCAAGAAGAATTGAGAGATTGACCACCACATTTTTTTTTCTTTTCTCAATTTCTCAAATATTGATTTTTCTTTAAAGGGTCCTTTCTTATTGAACTTAGAATGAATGACACTATCTTAAAGAAATTCTGAATGTCTAATTTATGAATTAGCATCATCGACTATCAATGAACTAAATTTTCAGTTCTTTATTCAAATGAAGATTGTGCATCGTAACGTTCAAGATTTATAAATAAAATAATAAGTTGGAACTTATTATTTCTTAAATTAGTTCTTGATTTGAAAGTTGAGATCACCCACATTGTTGTTTTGATATGGTCTAATTTTGCGTCTAATCTTTTATCTAGCTTCTTCTTTATAGGGTTCCCTCTTTAACTGAACTTCGAATGACTTTTATCTTAAATCAAAATTTTTAAATGTCTAAACGTTCAATATTTTATTCAACCACACTACACTTTTATGTACAAAAAGGCAGATCACTGGTCCCTACTAATCTTGGCGTACAGAAGTATGGACAGCAAATACTAGAACGCATTCTCATCAAATAAAGTTGAATAAACAGGGTGGGGACTGTGCCCTGGGGTGATAGCTGCTGCAGATGTTTTTTATTTTTTCAAACTGTCCAATTATGTGACGACTTAGATTCTCCCTATTTTTTAACATGTTATTGAACCTATGTAGCATAACTCAATAAAGTTTGTCAAAGCATTACGTGCTTGTTTGTCAAACGTAAACTTCAATCACACATTTTTTTAAATTTCAACGCTTTTACCTACTTTTTTATTTTATATTTCTCGAAACTCACTGATTATAAGCACTTAAAATCTTTGTCAAGCAAGCAAAAAGATGGTATTTTGACAAATATAGATCTACTAAATGATAAGTGTACTATTAATGGGGATTTTTTGGACATTTCAATCTACAAAAGTAGTAAAGAACCCATATTTGGAGCGATATGTTTGAACTTGCCTCCTACAACCGAACAGCTTCAGTTTGTGGGGTGGGTAAGGTTCACCATTGCTCGAAGGGTGCCAGAATCAGGTGGCTTTATCCTATTTCATGAAAATGACCCTACTCCCTCGATTATTTTCAGGCTGAAAATATGACCATACTCCCTTTATGATTTTCAGGCTGCAAAAGGAGTACAAGGATTACAACTTCAATTAACATATGGGCCTAGGTGCTTTTTAGTAGTTATTTGGACAACCTTAGTATCTAACATGGTCACACTTGCCAAAAATCGACTCTCCAAGATCATTCTAATCCGCCAATTACCAGAACGAAATGAAAATAGATGAACGATAGTTTCATAATTCAATTAAAGATAAGAGTCAAGATTTCCATATTAACAACTTGAAAACACGCCACCCACGTAACACTATTTCTGGTACACGTATACACAACCTCCCAATTACAATTAGTCAATTTAAGAGCCTATTCAAAGGGCAAATCAATTGAGTTCAAATATAACAAGTATGACATAGATAGTAAAAACCTTACCCTAGCCCAACCATGAAGCAATTCGTGGCAATGACTGGTCCGGCCAATAAAACGAATTGCCCATGGCATCACGAATTCCAACCTAAATACCATAAATCCACCACCAATACATGATCTTGGCCAAGGTAATCAGGCACATGAGCTTGTGGTTCTAACAACTTTACAAAATAAACATACTATATTGACTCCAGATACAAGGCTTCTTGTTTGCTGGTCAAGCCCAGTTCATTCATAGTAGAGGTATTGTCGCCAACAGTAAAAGCACGCCGAGGATATGGCCTTACCTGGACACAGAAGAATGTCAGAACACATCAAATAGCCGAACCCATTCACATTTTATGGCAAGTTAGTCAGAGTGACTTATTTTGTCGAATGTGATTTCCAGAAAATTATCTTTTTACTACCGAATCTAACGTTTATGTTTGGTTCATTGTTTCTAGGTTTTTATAAAAATCTCTGTCAAAAAATACTTTTGATCCACACATTTCATAGACCACAAATACTACTCACTTCTCCTCCATTCATTTACCCCTGATTATAAACGCTACCCTTTGTTTCTAGAAAACAACTTTAAAGCCACAGCCAAGCATGCATGCTCTCTGTCATAGGAAAACAAATTCACATCATAATGTTATTCAATCAATCTTGTACTTCTAATGGACCCACTATTTAAATATGCAGTTCTGATGCATGATACTGTATTCCAACTGAATCCATGAGCTTTTCAGTACTCTAATATTAATTTCAGTTTTGGTACAGGCACACTCTGGTTGATAATCTGGTTGACATTGAGTAAGGTAGCCAACATTTTTACCCTTTATTTGAAAAACACTTAAAATAATCAATGGCACGGATTTTGACAACACACGCAATGTCAACAAAGATATCATCCATGAATGTACAAATAGCATAACTCTATTTACACGTGGAGGAAAAACTGAAGAAAACAACAGTACAAGTACCTATAGCTAAATCATCTTGCCCGTAAAAGAGAACATAGAATCATAGGTGAAGTCACCCAGTATTCAATATTTCGCATGGACGCCACAAACATCAAAAAATTCAAACAAAATGCAGAAGAGAGAGAGAGAGAGAGAGAGAGAGAGAGAGAGAGACCCTATCAGTAAATCAAATTGCTTTGAAAACGTTTTTTGATTTCCTCATTTATTTTTGTTTTTTTTGGGCTCTTGGAAAAATATTTTTCTTCTCTCTGGCTGGAGGGCGGAGGGATTTCATAGATAGTCTGACAACAACTACAATCAGCTAAGGCCATTTTGGTAGCGTTACGTCAGGGAATGGAAAATCCATTCCAGCTTTTTCTTTCCTCAATTGTGTTTTGTAAGTCAATTTGGAGCAGAAAAGAGCATTCCCATAGAAGGCATTTCTAGGAAAGTATTAGAGTGCTCTTTCCTCCACAGTCAATGTCACCATGTTTCATCTTCAGCCCAACCATCCTCTTCAATACTCAATACATCTCCATCTTCCACTCCCTCAAGTAGATCACATCTTATTGTTTGGGCAGAGATTTGCCATAATCAGCCAGCAAAGCCAGCAAGTTTGAATTTTTTGGTAAGTTTTAGTTTAATAAATTGAATATTCATTGGAAAAAAGATGTACATTGCCTATTGCTTTGTCCTGAGTGTTTTGGAGAATAAAATTTGATTGTTTCAAAATTTAGATTGTCAATGGTGTTTGTGGCAATTGGCAGAGGAAATGGATTTGCATCCTTCTATCTTGGTTTCTTTCTTTTTCTTTTTTGATGTTTGTAGTGAACGAAGAATTGGAATACACATTTCCACCTCCATCATCACCATTCCATCCAAGAGTTCAGCTACCAAAAGCCATCTAAAAGTGTATCTTCAGAATTAACAGAAAAGGAGACGAAGTGGCACAAATAAGAAGACAGCAAGAAATATTTACCAATCTGTAAGTACCAGGCTTGACCACTCTGCCAACATCAATGAAGTCAAAAAGATACTGCAAAAACAAATCGAGCAAGGTTGTGAACAAGAAAATAAGTACAAACCAAAGATCCACCGCATCCATACCTGCAGATTGTCTGACTTAAGAAAACGCCGACCCATCCGACTGCCATCGGGCATCCTCACAAGAAGGGTAACAGCACTGTCATCATCTGGAGTTGGTTCCAGTTTGTCATCATCTGGAGTTGGTTCCAGAGGAAGGGAAGCTTCTTTTTCAGCTAATTGTCTCTCGAGTTCCTGGCCAGTGATCACAATACATAAAGGTCTAAACTCTAAAGCATAAATTGTTACTAAAAAGTAGTTCTTATTAACCTACTAGGCCATTGGAAGAGAAAAGCAACCAAAATTAATAAACCTTACTAAATATAAAATATGCCTTTCCCAAGACCTCCATCAATAACATCAATGATGCCAAAGAGATTCAAAATGTAATCATGCAAAATTAGATCAACAATTCGGGCAAACCTCATAGCTTAAGTGAAAACAAGCTTCAAGCATTTTAAAGCTAAGCAGTTGAAGGGTTTACTTGTTCATTTTTTGATTCTTTCTTCTCTTATTACTTCGACACTTTTCTGGAGATAGGGAAGCTCTCTACCATACAGTATTGTAAGACCAGACTGGTTCAACCAAAAAACCACCTGGTTTTCACGAAAAACCGTGACCCAGTTGAACCAATGGCTCATTGTTGAGGATACTGGTTTAACACTTTTACTTGCATTTTGACTCTCCGTTTCAACTTTTACCCTGCATGTTTACCCTTGGCCCTAAATTTTTCTTGCAACAGAACATGGCTCTCTCAATTTGAATTGAAAAATTAANCCCTATCAGTAAATCAAATTGCTTTGAAAACGTTTTTTGATTTCCTCATTTATTTTTGCTTTTTTTGGGCTCTTGGAAAAATATTTTTCTTCTCTCTGGCTGGAGGGCGGAGGGATTTCATAGATAGTCTGACAACAACTACAATCAGCTAAGGCCATTTTGGTAGCGTTACGTCAGGGAATGGAAAATCCATTCCAGCTTTTTCTTTCCTCAATTGTGTTTTGTAAGTCAATTTGGAGCAGAAAAGAGCATTCCCATAGAAGGCATTTCTAGGAAAGTATTAGAGTGCTCTTTCCTCCACAGTCAATGTCACCATGTTTCATCTTCAGCCCAACCATCCTCTTCAATACTCAATACATCTCCATCTTCCACTCCCTCAAGTAGATCACATCTTATTGTTTGGGCAGAGATTTGCCATAATCAGCCAGCAAAGCCAGCAAGTTTGAATTTTTTGGTAAGTTTTAGTTTAATAAATTGAATATTCATTGGAAAAAAGATGTACATTGCCTATTGCTTTGTCCTGAGTGTTTTGGAGAATAAAATTTGATTGTTTCAAAATTTAGATTGTCAATGGTGTTTGTGGCAATTGGCAGAGGAAATGGATTTGCATCCTTCTATCTTGGTTTCTTTCTTTTTCTTTTTTGATGTTTGTAGTGAACGAAGAATTGGAATACACATTTCCACCTCCATCATCACCATTCCATCCAAGAGTTCAGCTACCAAAAGCCATCTAAAAGTGTATCTTCAGAATTAACAGAAAAGGAGACGAAGTGGCACAAATAAGAAGACAGCAAGAAATATTTACCAATCTGTAAGTACCAGGCTTGACCACTCTGCCAACATCAATGAAGTCAAAAAGATACTGCAAAAACAAATCGAGCAAGGTTGTGAACAAGAAAATAAGTACAAACCAAAGATCCACCGCATCCATACCTGCAGATTGTCTGACTTAAGAAAACGCCGACCCATCCGACTGCCATCGGGCATCCTCACAAGAAGGGTAACAGCATTGTCATCATCTGGAGTTGGTTCCAGAGGAAGGGAAGCTTCTTTTTCAGCTAATTGTCTCTCGAGTTCCTGGCCAGTGATCACAATACATAAAGGTCTAAACTCTAAAGCATAAATTGTTACTAAAAAGTAGTTCTTATTAACCTACTAGGCCATTGGAAGAGAAAAGCAACCAAAATTAATAAACCTTACTAAATATAAAATATGCCTTTCCCAAGACCTCCATCAATAACATCAATGATGCCAAAGAGATTCAAAATGTAATCATGCAAAATTAGATCAACAATTCGGGCAAACCTCATAGCTTAAGTGAAAACAAGCTTCAAGCATTTTAAAGCTAAGCAGTTGAAGGGTTTACTTGTTCATTTTTTGATTCTTTCTTCTCTTATTACTTCGACACTTTTCTGGAGATAGGGAAGCTCTCTACCATACAGTATTGTAAGACCAGACTGGTTCAACCAAAAAACCACCTGGTTTTCACGAAAAACCGTGACCCAGTTGAACCAATGGCTCATTGTTGAGGATACTGGTTTAACACTTTTACTTGCATTTTGACTCTCCGTTTCAACTTTTACCCTGCATGTTTACCCTTGGCCCTAAATTTTTCTTGCAACAGAACATGGCTCTCTCAATTTGAATTGAAAAATTAACTTCTTGTAATTTTAACCAACCTCCTTCAATCCATACTTATATTTATTTAGCGACTAGAGAAAAGTCCAATTATAAATTTTTTCTTGGGAATTTCATATTGAAAGTTTATGATAGATTGCTTCGTATCATCACTTTCCAATTTTGGGTTTTCTAAAGTCTATTGGCCAAGTGGTAATTTATGATGGTTTTTCCTAACTCTGGAGGTTAATTTTTTTGGTGGACTTCTTGTTTTCTCGCCCTAGATGTTAATTGTACTGAAGAAAGTGGGTTGGGGGGTAGAGGATCTGAATTTTCATTTTGTCAGGAACAAATCTGAAGATTCTTTAAATAGTTAACGTTATATTTGATAGGAGTCGACTCGCAGGTTGAATCACGGGATTATTGGTTGAACCAGTGACCCACCTCTTTGCCCTGGTCGTTCAAAACCTATGCTTTCATACCCCCAATGGCACTTTGAAGAATATTTTCAAGTGCAGTTAATGAAAATACAATAACTTTTTCCTTGATATATAAGAGGTTAATGCAAGCCAAACTTGTTCATTGAACACTGGATATGAATGCAAAATTGCAATAGGTATTAAATTTTGACTCAAGTAGTAATATAGAAAAGAAATGGTTTACCATTCATTTCATGGCTTCTCAGAACTAACAACTAAAGGGCTATGTTGAGCAAGAACTTTCCATGTAAGAGACCACTTTTAAGTAGAACTTTGAGCATGCATTAGGAGAACATTGAAAGAAGTTCAGCTAATATGTGCATAATTAAAATAAAATTTTAAAAAATCATCTTGCGAAAAAGTTCTCCTGGACCCTCGTATGGTATGTGCGTGCTTATTTTAAAATTTTATAGATAATCAATATGCATTACATTTAACAATAGCTTTCACAGTTTTTTTCTTAATTTTAATTTAGTTCATTATTAGGCTCAATTCAGAGACACTACTCTAGAATTGACAAGCTATGCAATCAAAGGGGTATGTCTTACTAGTTCAACTTCTCAATGTAGACGGCATTGGAGAAAGTTCACTCTAGTCCATACCACTGCTTGACCACAAAGAGGATTAATCCTTCAATTCCTTTCTTTTGCAAAATGTATAATAAGATTAAAGTCAGTCAAAGAGGATGTCCTTCAGTTGTGGATAACTTTTCAGGCGATGATGGATTGTTGAATAAGACTGTGAAAGTCCATCAAACACATTTACGATTAATGATATTGATCTCAATGTGGATCTTTTTGCGGCAGAGAGTGCTACACAATGCCAATATAATGTTTTAGGCAAATGTACTTATTCTCTAATTGAAATGCGTATTTGTTCATCTTAGTTATCAAGTTAGACTAACGAAATTTGTGTTTTGCATTTATAAGGGGAAGGTGAAGACACCACTTCAAGTTGAGGAACACAACAACAAATTGAAATTGAAGAGGAGCATGACAAGGAATGCTAATAATTCTATTGATGATTGTATATAAAGTTAAGATATGGATCACCTTAAGGCTTTTCTAGGTTGGTTGTGGATTACTAATATTATTATCTGATTACTATTTTGCGGATTTATTATTTGTTATTTTATTGATTTATTTTATATTTGTTTGCAACTTAGACTTTTAATTTGTCAATATGTTTCCTTGTGAATTCTAGATCTATGATTTTCTATGAGTATACGTTTCATATATCTTTTATGTTATATTTCATTGGTTTGTAACAAGGCTTATACCACAAGACTTTTCCCAGCTTCACAGAGGCAAAATGTGTTGATGCTTGATTTTTAAACTTTGGTCATGAATAGTGCCAAGTGTAGGTAACAACCATGTCCAGGGATAACATTCCCTAATGTGTTCTATTGTCTAGAAATAACTCGAAGAGGCAAAGCATAGCATCAAAATTCAAGAGTATATCTATCAAAGTTATAGTCAAGTATGAAACCATGAGCTTTAAAAAGATATTGTCCAAGCAGGAAATATAAAGCAAATTCAATCAAGAGCAAGAAACGTGTTGTTGACGTGCTTTCAACTATCACCTATAATAAGGTGTTGTTGAAGTGCTTTCAACTATCACCTATAATAAGCTATGGTCAATGGAACAAAATTTCAAAATTAAATTACCCGTTCCTCTTCCAGTCTCCTATGCATTTCCTCCTCTTTGTGTCTCTCTTCTGCAATAACAGCTTCAGCATCTTCCTTGGCCTTCAATTCCTTCTCTCTGTCAGCTTGTAATGCAGCAAGAAATTCGTCGTCCTGCATGTAATCACAGATTTAGAATCAAGGATAACAGAACTGTAGCTACCAATGCATTCTCATTACACGAACCTGTTGTTCTCGAATCAACCGCTGAGCAGTAAGAGAGGGTGAGGGAGGACGAGGTATATTCCTTCGGTGAAGACCCATACTTCTATCGAAATCATTATGTATGAGCTCATGAGGTGAATAACGGAAGTTATACCCACTCTCTTCAGGAATCCCACCAAACATTGCAGCCTCAAGCATTACAGCTTCATCATGCTCCTCCGATGAGATGCCACCCCACTTTAAGGATATATGCTCATCAAAGCATAAATATCAGTGCTCATAAAAAATAAAAATAAAAAAAAAAGCTATTTAGCTTTATTTTCCAGATGATTACATAAATGTGAGATAAAGTGAAGCTACGGCCAAAATAAATGTACTTAAATAACTAATAAGCCTAGCCAAACATATTTGAAGCTCTAAAAGTTGGTCAAAGTAACTCTTGCTCTCAAACATGGCAGACTTTTTTCTTAGAAGTTGCTTATTTTTTTGAACTTCAGTGCTAAATTAACTTATTTTTCAGCTTAGCGAAATATGTTCCTAATTTGTGAATATGGAGAAACTTATGTTACCTCATCAGAGGGAAAGACACTTCCATTCTGCTGCGACTGATGAAGATTATCATGCTGACTTGGTGGTGGGGTAACCTCAACTCCTTCAAAAGAATCTGAGGACATATGCCTTTGCTTAACTAGCGGCTGCTCTTCTACATCTGCTTCATTTTGGATGGAAGAGCTTCCAATCTCCAATCCAGATTGCCTAAAAGTACCTCGTCAGAAGATCCAAATACTTGACACTCAACAATTATGTCAATGCATCCATCATGTGAATTATTGTGCCCAACATGCAAACAAAGAAAGAGTAACTCCCAGCCAAAGTCATCGGAAGAACAACTCTATCAAAACATTGACGACAAAGGGGGGCACATACCTTCCACTTGAGGATTTTATTTTCCCCAGCTCCTCCATCTCAGTTGATTTCTCAGCTTCCAGGTCTAATGCTCCAATTTTTCCTTCCTGCAATGCTTTCTCTTGCTCTGCTGTCTGGATTCACTTCATGTTAATTAAATAACAATGATAATTCAAAAAATGTTGGCATAAAATTGACAAGTGTACCTTCAGCGATGATGAAACCGCATGATCAAATTCGGCATCTTCTGGATGCGACTGCCTTGGCTGAGGCATGGAATCCCTAAGATCCTGTATCAGAATGAAATATACCATTAATGAAATTGACAGAGCTCAAGGATGAAACAACTCGCACAATTGAAACCACAATATACACTGTAATTGGCAAGTTGCTGCTCTGACATAGCAGCATCCTGCTTAGAAGCCTCGATAGCTGCCCGAACCATTTCTTCTTCTATATCCTTATTGTAGTCGGCCTCATCAACAATAGTGGGAGCACTCATAGGACCATTAGGAACATTGACTTCGTCATCGTCAATTATGACAGTCCCTTGGGTTTCTGGACCATGATCTCGGGCACTTTCAGTGACATCTTCAATAGTAGGAGCACTACCAGAATCACCCAATGGTCCATTCCCATCTTTCACTTCAATAGGAATCCGCCTCACTTCTCTTGGATGTGACACAGAAGGTGAACCACTTGTAAAATCAGTTCCCCTATCAAATATACTTCCGGTAAAGTTGGGACCAAGTAGAGAAAAAGTATTCGCATCTCTAGTGGACAGTGGCAACGAGAAAGGAGGTATATGGGATTCAACTTGGATTGGATCATCAATGTCCATATCATCGTCATGAGGAGCCACAGAAGATGCCTGATTTGTTCTGAAAATGGGAAAAAAAAACTATATACTTAGGAATTTAGTTAGACAAAAGGAAAGAAAAACAAAAGAAAGCTATAAAAAGACACTATAAAATATTACATGTTTCTGTCCCTGGCACTGAAATGTGCATTAACAGCTTCGTTGAGGTTGCCATGATGCTCCTGCTTACACAGCATATAAAACTATGAAGTTAAAAGCAAAAGGAAAGAAGCAATAAAAAGAATGTGAAAAAAGAGCATTAAAACAATGACAACAGTATAGTTCAAAACTTAAATTCCTCCAACAAAACAAATTGAAAGCTATTAACTGAAACACAGTGTGATCAATATTAGAAGTGTGAGACAATAAGAAAGAATTAAAGTTCCTCATTTCTGGATCAAAGATTATGATACAATAATAGACGTGTTACCATTCTGGGACAATAATAAATCTAATATAAATCTTCTTTCACTGAATTTGTCGACAATACAGTTGATGTTCAATGGTGAGCCTTTCTATAGAATAAAAAGGGTACAAGACTTGGTTATGATGATGCCAAAAACACCTAGATGAATGATGACATACTAGCATCTGATTTTTATTTTTTATTTTATTTTATTATAAAGAAAAAACAAAAGACAAAATAAAAACTACTGTTTGGGCCATATATAAGAGAGAGCCTGAAGTATATTATAAATTCACACATTGAACTGAACAAGTACGAGGTAGGTAAGCAAACTACCATTAGGTCAAATAATCCTAAGGCCAATCATAATCAAGTAAAAATATTATTGAATGAAGTTTTGAAATGAAACGACAAGACAATTAAAGTTACGACAAAGAACGTGAAAAAAATTAAGCCCAGGCTTCAGCAGCAGACAAATAACAATCAGTCATTAATTCACATACAGCTTTCCATAAGTTTATTAAAACTATGACTCATTTTCGAGTTGTCCATAAATCTATATTTCTCCGACTCCATAGAAATTTCTCACAGGTAAAACTTACGCGAGATAGATCTTCTTGAACATGAAGATGTATCACTCAGTTTGGTAGGTATGTACTCTTTCTACATCTCATTTTTCTTCTTTAAAAAAATAAGTTCAGTATTTAGAGTTTAGACACATTATCATGGTTCGAGACTTAAGTTACACAGAGGGAGTGTCAAAAGTTGAAGTTGCTTGAGAGTTTCAGCGTCTTAGAGAATTTGGGGAACTTTGTCGAGCAAGTTATCTAGTTTTGAATTTTTGCAGTTTTCTACCAGAATACATAAACAGGAAAAAGTAATTGCTAGCACTCATAGATCTTTCTCTATGGTCCCTTCTCATCTAATCCTTTTACCTATCCTAAAAATCATCGCCTTACCCCTCTTGTCTGATCTCTGCCATAGCTTCTCTATCTGTGTGTTCCACACCAACCATCAGGAAACTATCTTCCTTACTACCACAAACGCGTCCACCATTCTCCAACCATCGAGAATGGCGACTGACCATCAACATTATTTTATACCACAGTCAACAAATAAGCAACTTACAGATTTTAGAGTGTGAACTGAGGACAATTTAGTTAATGGGAGAAATTTGTGACTTAGTTCTAACAAGACACATTTGGCATTGCACTTTGCAACTATACTTTTGCTGGTGCAATTATGCTGATAAAGTATCATTCTAGCAGGAATTGTTTCTAACAAATATAAAAACAACAGATAAAACAGGTCACTCTTCTATTGCAAAGAGCAAGGAATTACTGAGCCTGATGGTTTATTTATAAAGAGCATCTTGTGCAAATTTAGCATCTTTAGATTTGAAGAGCGGAAATTTTTGTACACTTCAACAATACTCTTTATTTTGCATTTTTTTTTAATTAACATTCATTGTCTTTCCTTTATCTTTTATTTAATATATATTCTTTAAATGTCAATGCAAAATCATTTCAAATATGACTTGAATAAAAAATAATACAGCATTGAAATTTTTAACTTACTAAATGATTGATTATAAAGTATAAAGACTGAGTTTAGCCCAAACCCACCCTCTACTTTAAAAAATTAAAATAAAGAGTCTCTTGGAACCTATTTTAAGCATTGATCTTGTATTTAGAGTCACTTGAATATGTCCTTACTACGTGGAGAGTACTGGCTCTTGGAAAAAAAAATTACTACTGGCAGGGTATGCAAGCCTAAGCTTCTTTACAACCAGTGATTTTCCTATTTGTCCTTGAGTGTTTACACCGTGTTAGTGTATATTTTAAATTCCAATCACAAGGTTTTCTAAATGCATTCAGCATAATACACCAAAAGGAAGCAAATTAGTTGTCGAGATGTCAAACTAATTGTATGTGTCTGTGGGGTGAAGGATGATGGCTTAAATCCTCCATGATACTTACAGCATATTAGAACTTTTTCTTGACAGGGAAAAAAAAAGGGGCATGTGACAAATGCAAAAATAGCTAGTATTATGATTCATCATTACCAAACCCATATAGAAAAAACCAAAATTAAAAACATGCGCATACAGAATTTGCTAAAGCTAACAGAAAACTGAATCACATAAACTAGTTATAGTTCTTTCAACTCGATAGAAAATATATTAAAAAGAAAACCGTAATATTCACTAGCTAATTAATCGCACCATTTAAAGTTACTAATATCACTCAATTTAGTATTAATATTAATATTTCAATCCAGAAATCTAATTTAACAGTAAAAATTACCTCAAGTTTCTGAACAGCAGTGGCCTCAGAAACGCCGGTGATGCTCATGAAAGTCTCGATTTCCCCTTGATTAGCTCTCGCCATTTTCTCAGGAAAAAAAAATTATTTTTCTGTATGTTTTCTTGGTTCAAACTATAAAACAGAAAACTTCAATTTTTTATTTTTGTTTGCTTCAAATAATATTCTAATTTGTTGGTTGTGTTCTGTGTAGTGTTAAATTTTTGAGAAGAAAAATCGGATTAAATTCTACAGAGGTGTATGATTGCATTTGCAGGTTTGGTAAATAAGATGAAAGAGACCGCCCCTTGTGTAATATTCCAAACTCGCACGCAAACTCTCTCTCTTTCTCTGCTTCTTGTGGCTTTTGAAATTTTCATATCTTGGGGAATAAGTTGCTCTTTATTTTCGTACTTTTTTAAGGGAAAAAGAATTTACTTATTTCGAAAGTAATTTTATCGTAATGGCTCATAGAAATTGCTTCTGCAACTCGGTAGTTGGAAGTACGTTCAAAGTTTGGTTTGGATTCTTTCTAATAAAAGTAGCTGCACATAAAATTTTGAGCTTTTGTACTGCAAAAAGATTACTTCTCTATCTCAAGGTAAATTTGCTTTCTTTTTCATTTATTCCAAATTCTCTATTTAGGGCTTGTCGGGTGACAATTTTAATTCAAATTTTAAAAAATTATTGGATCGTTAATAACCTCCATTGTTGACTTCCTTCACACAATTTACTATTTAGGCAGTCTTGGGACCCACTAACGATCAGAATTCTGCTTTTAATTTCCTCCAGATAAGCTCTTAGTCGGTGTTTGGTGGGGATAAAAATTAAATTTTTAGTAAATTGTGTGGTCAAAAAGCTGTGGAACACATGAAAAATGTGGTTAATATTGATTGTTTGACTTTAATTTAAATTAAAATCTGATTTTAATCCGAAACAAAAATGGCCTTAATATGTTTTGATATTAATAAATATGAACTACTCATATCTAAATAATTATTTAACGTAGATGTATATTAGAAATGAAATTTATATTTTTAACTATATTTATTACATTTTCTTAGGGCTCATTTGACATGACTTTTATTTCTTGTAGAAAAGTTTTTAGAGGAAGCTACCTTAACTTTTACTTGTAAACTTATTTTAAAAGCACTTTTTTTTATTTTGGAAGTGTTTTTAAATAAAATCATATTAGACCAACTTGCTCTAAAAATTCTTCTAATTACCAGAATCACCTTCATAAAATTATTCAAAGTGGAAATTACACATATTCCTACATTTGGAGATTGAAATTCTAAAATCAGCTTTCATACTTTAATTTTCAAAAATCATATCTTTTTTAATTAGATACAACGGAACTATATATGTATTATATATATACAGATTTAATTAAATATTAACCNCTTCTCCCTCCCGTCTCCCCCTCCCTCCCGTCTTCTCCCTTCATCCTCTTCTCCTGTTGCGAATTAGGGCAGTGTCGCTGCTGCGATTCGATGCTGAACGAACAGAGACGAACAGAGATCCTCTTTCTGCGAGATATGTTTGTCGTCGCCCCTACAGGTTTGTGTTCTTTGCTGTGGTTTGTGGTGGTGCGACAGCGACGGAGAGGGTTATTAGATTTAGTGGTGGCAGTTGCGGCAGTTCAATGGTGTTCTTAGTTCGATGTATCAGGAATTTTTAGGCTGTTTTTATTGGTGGTGGTTGGTGTTATATAAACGGTGGTGGTGGCGGTTGTGCAGTGATTTTGGTTGTGGCGGTCGTGGTGGCGGGGGTGGTGGTTTTGTGGATCTAATAATTTGCTGTAGTGGTGGCGACGATATTGTTGGTGCCGGAGATTGTCATGATTTTTGGTTTGTCGTCGATTGGTGAGGCTGTGTTGGCGACATTAGTGATGATGGTTGTGGCGAGTTGCTGGCTGTAGTAGCAACGACGTACTGGGGTTAGGGCATATAAGACGGTGGTGGTGGTGAGGTGGTGCTGTATAGTCTCTGTGACCAATGATGTGACCTGAACCAAGTGATGTGACCAATGCTGTGACCTGAGCCATGTGTTGTGGCCAATGCTGTGGCCTGAGCCATGTGCTATGACCAATGCTGTGACCACATAATATTTTTGCGCATGACCAATGCTGTGACCTGAGCCATGTGTTGTGGCCATGTGCTGTGACTATCAATAAAAACCTGAGTCATGCGCAAAAATATTATGTGACCTATGCTGTGGCCATTTGAAATAAACTTGTGACTATCAACTAGAATCTGAGTCATTTGAAAATAACATGGGACTATGAACAAAATCATGAGCCATGTGCAATATATTCTGTGACTTGTGCTGTGACCATTTGAAAATAATCTGTGACTATTAATAAAAATGTAAGACATAAGCCTTATTGTGTTATCAATTATTACAAACAAAAAATCATGCGTTGTGACCTGTGACCTGGGCTGTAACCGTACAAAAAATTCATATCATCGGAATAGTCTTCGGAATCGGAGCAGTCATTGAAACGGCCACCGGAATCGGAGTGGTCGCCAGAGAAATTATCGGAGTAGTCGTCAGAGCGGTAGGGGTGGTGGAGGTGGGGGTGGGTTATGTGTGTGTGTGTGTGTGTGTGTGTGTAGAGGTCAAAATATCTGATTTTTGAAATGTGAAAGTTGTTTTGTTTTTTTTGAAATAGGATAAAGATAAAGTAGGAGAACTGAATTTTTCACTTATTCAAATGGGTTCAAAAGCTCATTTTGACTTTTCAAAAGTCATGCCAAACGAGTCATTAATTTGTGTGAAAATAGAAGCAATTATATCTTTATTGAACTCATGGATTATTTTATATTTACTTTTGTACAACTAATTTGAAAATTATTTTTTCTCAAATTTATTTTTATTCACACATTCTCTCATTAAAATACATTTTCAGGTGAATTCAGAATTTTTTTCTATTTTGTAACCACACATTTTCTAAAAATTATTTTTTTGTTTAAATGATCTCTCCAAAGGAAAAAAAAAAAACTATAGATGCTCTTCTTTGTAGTCACAAATAATAAAAGATAAAGAAAAAATATATTAAGCACATGAGGTCTACTTAATAAGTACTGATAATATTACGTATCAATCCATTGCTGGTGGAATAAGTTTATAGTAAATCTCAATATTTGAATTAAATTTGAGATTTGTTTGAGCCCCATTTCTTTGATAGAATGAATTTTGTTATAATAATTTCTTTAAAGAATATGTGGTTGATAGTTCATTTCTCTTATTTTATAAAACTTATTTATTTAAGTGAAGTTGTCACGCTTAGCAAAATGCGAGAGATCGTAATTTTTTAAGTAAAGAGAATAAATATTAATATATTCACTAAGTTGCATTGAATAGAATTTATAAGAAAATTAACACATTTTTATTATATGTATTAAGCTAGAAACATGACAATAGTCTTCCTGACGATGGTGAAGGGTTTTGCAGGGTGGTTTGGTAGAGAGAAAGCAAATGGAAGAAATCGAAGAGCGAGAAAAAATTAAAGACGAAAAAAGATATGAAACATTTAGTATCTAGAAAGACAATGGAGAAATGTCAAGGCCATTCTTTCAAACTTGGATTCAGATTCAGCTTCAACTTCTTCTCTATGTTAATTCTTCCCTTACAAAGAGGTTCTTTCTCCGTGTCATTACGTTACTACAAGTCTCAATGTCAAGTAATCATTATATATATTCAAGTCACACCGAGACCATTAGGAAAGGAATAGTGATATCTAGCATCAATGGTGAACGACAATTTATGTGGTGTTATATGTTATATTTAATTAAACGTAAAATTAAGTGATTCATTTGATAGTATCTTTCATTTAATAATGCTTAGAGGATGTTTGGTGAAGATTAAAATTAGGTTTTTAGTAGATTGTGATAGAAATTTTTGAAATGTGTGGTTAAAAAGTTGACACTCATGAAAGATGTAGTTAATATTGATTATTTGACTTTGACTTTGATTAAAATCAGATTTTAATTCGGACCAAACACGGGCTTAATGTCACCTAGATTGATGATGTAACACTAGTGGTGTAAAATAGTATTAGTCTTAGAAGAATGAAAGTAAAAGATATAGAAGAAAAATCCTTCGAATAAGAGAGCTACAAAAACAATTAAGATAAAAACACCTACAAAAATTATGTGACAATCTCTATCAAAACGAATGGATAATAAATTTTGAGTCAACTAATCACATTATCTAAAGCCTCAAACCTCCTGCACCAGACGACGTCGAAGAAAAACGTAGGAACAAACTTTAAATCGTCATTGGGGTTCCATAAAATTAAAAAAATAAATAAAAATTAAATAGAAGGCTTACAAGACTTCTCAATAATAACAAATCTAAGGTCGAGACAATGGAAAACAAAATAGAAAATTTCTGGATACTACTGGGGGAGTGTGGGCCTTTTCTCAACCATTTCATATATCAAAACGAAGTTATCCTGCAAGTAGTTACACAGCAATTAAGATTTCCAAAAAAGCACTTTACAAGTTTCTGCAAAAATATTGCAGGGCATATATTGCAAACCTTTCTTGTCATCTGCCATGTGTTGGGATCGAAAAAGTAATAGCAACCTCTCTCGTAAGTGTTTGTCTTCACAAGAGGCTCCATATCTTTCACCCTAGTGAACCATAACCGGAGATCTTTGTGGTAGAACCATCCTCTAGTATACCTGCAATAGAACCAAAAATATAATTAGCCCTTGTTTGGCCCCCATTTTATAAAACTAATGTTTTCCTCAAACTCATTTTTAACCACACATTATATCAACTTTTATCAAAATCTAAAAACTGATTTTTAGCTAAATCAAACATGGGCTTAATGATGCTATGCTTTTAGCATGTATAAACATACATAACAAGTCAAAGGACAACTCAGTAAGAAAATAAAAACAATATGGAGCACCACTTCCATTAATCTTCTCCCCCAGACTAATGCAAAATGACTATTCAGTCTTGAAGCCACCACCTTCTAGCAAATCAGTCGATCTATCCATCCAAGAGTCTATGCGAGTTGGGATGACTATTTCTTGTTAGGTTTAACATTCTCACTTCCAACTACATTTATCT